AGAATGCTGAAAGTACCATGGACTGCTAAAAGAACTAACAGATCTGTCCTGGGGGAAGCACACCTGAAATGCTCCTTGGAAGCGAGAATGGCCAGACTTCTCACCTACTTTGGTCATGTAGTGAGAAGGGACCATTCCCTGGAGAAGGATGTCATGCTTGGTAGGTTGAAGGGTCAATGAAAGAGGGGAAGGCCTTCAACGAGATGGATTGGCACAGTGGCTGCGATGATGGGCTCAAGTATAGCAGGGATCATGGAGCTGGTGTGGGATCAAGCAGTGTTTCGTTCTGCTGGGCATGGGGTCGCTATGAGTCAGAAACGACTCGACGGCACCTAACAACAATAACTGTGCGGTTGTACATATCTGGTGCTGCGTGTCTTAGGTGTGGTTGTATTTGGTGAGCTGCATGGTGCAGTTATATGTGTACGTGTGTGTGGTGTATGTCTATTTGATGTGGGGTGTGTGTACCTGGTGAGGTCTGTGGTTGGAGGTATGTATTTGATGAGCTGTGTGGTGCGGTTATATGTGTATGTGTGGGTGTGTATGTCTATTTGATGTGAAGTGTGTGTATCTGGTGAGGTCTGTGGTTGGAAGTATGTATTTGATGAGTTGTGTGGTGTGGTTATATGTGTACGTGTTTGTGGTGTAAGTATGTCTATTTGATGTAGGGTGTGTGTATCTGGTGAGGTCTATGGTTGGTGGTATATATTTGGTGAACTGTGTGGTGTGGCTGTATGTGTATGTGTGTGTGGTATTAGTATGTCTATTTGGAGTGGTTGTGTGTTTTAGTGAGGTGGGTTGTGGTTCTGTGCATCTGCTGGTGTATATTTGGTGAGCTGTGTGGTGTTCTTGTGTGTGTCCGTGTGTGTGGTATGTCTATTTCATGTGGGGTCTGTGCATATGCTGAGGTATATGGTTGTATGTACGTATTTGGTGAGCTGTGTGGTGCGGTTGTATGTCTATGTGTGAGGTGTTGTCTATTTGGAGCTCCTGGGGCTGGTGCCAGGGAGGTGCACTCCAGCCGCCCTACAGCTGCCTCCTTCCAAGGCAGCCAGGGGTCTACCCTGAGGAAGGTGGGCTGTGGGGTGACCAGGTAGGGCTGGGAACTTGGGGTGGTCTCCTGGCTCCCTCCTCTGGGCCAGGGCTTTCCAGCAGGTGAGCAGCCACTCGAGCTGAGGGGCCACTTGGAGGTGGAGCTGCAGGCCGCAGGGCCTGGAGAGGACAGTAGCAGCAGGCAGAAGCCCACCAGGGCAGCCATGGGCAGACACTGGCGTGAGAGGGACCAGGGCAGACACACACTGTGTCGTACTGGACAGTACGTGAAAGGCCCTGGACCAGCCCTAAAAGCTCTGACATGGCAAACAAGCCTGAGAATTGCTGGCAATGGCTCTGAGGGGTGACACTCTACAAGGCTCCTCAGATGGGCCCTCAGATGAGTCAGGTGCAGAGCTGGGCTGCGGTCCAACTGGTGGGGGTCGCTGTCCGTGCTTGGGGTCACTGGTGAAAATGAATGCCCGGCCCATGTTGGAACCCTAGGTCCAGCCTATGCGGGCATCACAACTCCATGCTAAAACCCAATGTGACATTAGAGAGGAGCCCAGGGCTGGGCTGGCACACTGGGTCAGGGCTGATGGGGTTGGACACCATGCCAGCCACCACTGGGGCTCACTCGATCAGCCAGCATAGGGACTTGATTGTCTGTTGTGGTCAGCAGACACCTAATGTACCTACAGGGCCAGCCTGATGGCAGCAGCAACTGTCACAAGCCTGGCTGGGGGACCAGAAATGAGGCGATGACACCCTTGCCCTCAGGTGGCCAGTGTGCACAGACGCGAGTGAGGCCAGGGTCTGCAGGATGAGTGGCTGGGCCTCTCAGCACAAAGCGACCCTCCTCTCTTTTCTCCTCCCTCATCAAGTGTCGTCGTCCCCGCCCCCCCGCCATTGCACATAGGCTCAGGTCTGGTGACAGCCCTGTCCTTCATGCTCCCTGCCCTCACCCACACTTTAGTCTTTACAAGACAATTCGGGTGAAACAATAAGGTGGCTTGTTAGACGGTTAAACCCAGGGTGACCCAGCTGCCATCCCCAATATGACCCAGAGGACATGAAAGCAGGGACTTGGACAGGCACTCTCTGCCCACATGCACCACAGTGCTATCCACAGTGGGAGACAACCCATCCAGAAGCAAATGGACACGGGGAGGGTGGCCCGTCCCCACAGAAGGGGGGTCCTAATACGGTACAATGCTGACCAACCCTGCAAACGTCATGCTGAGTAAAGCCAGCTGGACACCAGAGGCCACACGTTCTGTGACCTATGTAGACACGTCAAAATGGGGTCCCTGGAGAGAGAGCTCAGACTAGGGTTGTTAGCGGCCAGGAGGGCAGCATGGGGACTGATGGCCAGAGGGAACAGGTCTCCTTCTTGGCTGACGCAACCTTCTGCACAGGACAGAGGTGGTGGTTACGTTGCCCTGTACACGTCCCAATGCCAGCGATCCATACGCTCCTGAGTGGCTGCATTTACGTCACGTGAATCTCACCTCTCTCCAAAAGAGCAAGCACACAAGCCATGTCCCCACCCTGCTGGTGGCACACAGTCATGGCCAGCCGTCCATGCCAGAGCACTGCATAGATCTGACCACCCGAGGGCCCCTACCAGGCCTGCCGAGAGGACCTCTCTGTCCTCTTATCTGTCTTCTCCATGCTCCCAAGCCCTGCAAGGTCGTCTCTCAACTCCAGACTTGTCTGTGCTGGCCAACTGGCTGACCAGATCAACTGCAGCTACCCGCCAAGACAGGAAAGGACATGGGGCTCTCGTCTCACCGTCTTGACCAGCCGTCATCCCCTGTACTGTTCCCACCTTGTCTCTGCCCCGGGAGGTGTCGCCAGGCAGACTGTCCCAGAAGAGTCAGTCCCTCAGAGGCAGCCCCACTCCTGGAGCTCCCTCAGCCTGGGGAAGTGTCTGCAGCAGTGGGGGAGGGCAGGCAGCCGGACAGCCACACAACAAGGGCCAGAGAGGGCTGGCCAGTCAGGCCTGGAGTGGAAAGATCCTGCTCTTCCTGCCTCCCGTGGGGACCGGGCCGCAGTCGGTGCACTGGCCCCACGTCCCTCCCCATGGCCCCCTTCCCGTCTCCCATGGGGACTGGGCTGCAGGCAGCAGCACAGTGAGGTACATCAGAAGTGAGACTTTCAGGGGCCCGAGGAGGGCCCGGAATGGTCTGGGTAAAGGCCTAACTAGATGGCAGCCCTAGGACTGGGCCGGAAGGATGATGGGGAGCCATGCTGGACAGAGGACACCATGGAGCACTGGCCATCAAGGGGGCAGCTGGGTGGTAAATACACCTGAGACATGCACTTGGATCAGTGTCTGTGGCCCAGAGGAGAGCTGAGAGGCCAGGAGGGGGTGCCCTGAAGTTGCCGTCTGCCCACAGGGCTCAGCCTCCCCCTTCTGCTGAGCCACCCAGGACCCCACCTGCCCTCACCTGAGTTGGCTGCTCCTTCCTGGCTCTGGGTGTGCTGGGCTTGGGGTGCAGCCGGGGCAGCCGCAGCATCTCCCGTGTCATGGGGTCCGGGCCTGGCTTGGGGCTCGTTGCTCCTCTCCTGCTCCAACGAGGCAGTAGCATTGAGCCGGGCTCGGGCCTGGGGCTGTGGGCGGGAGGGGCTCATCGGAGCGGGGGTGCCGGGGTCCATGCTGCATACAAGGAGAGTACCCGTCAGCCCGCCGAGTCACCAACCCAGGGTCCACCTCACCACGCCCCCATGAGCTGCAGCCCATGTCACAGAGGGAAGGAACTCAGACCACCCAGCCATCACACACAGGCCCTAACATCTATGGCCCGGTTCCAATCCCTGTGACCCTGGGCCTCACATGTCCATCTAAGAAACGGGGACAAGAACACCACCACGCAGGACACGGCTGAGGGAGGGCTCACCATGCCTGGCACAGGACACAAGGGAGTGAGAGAGGAGAGGGCCTACAACCAATGGGGCTGCACTTCGAAACCAGATGTGTGTACCCCACACCCTACGCCAGGCTAAAACAACTGGAGCAAGGCCCAGGACTTCAGGGCCCCAACACCGCCGCCCATTAGAGCCGACAGATAAGGGCCATGGATGTCAGTGGTTTCCAGGTGGGGCCGGAGGCTGTGGGCATAAGGAGGGGTCTCTGGACAGGGCCAGAGTGCAGACAGACACACAGAGTAAGATGGGGAGATGGCTAGTTACCTTGTCACCCAGTCACTTGGCCGCACACTCTTCAGTGGCAGGAAACGGGCTCTGCCAACAAGAGTGAAGGGCAGTGAGCCAGTCCTGCATCCCGGCATCTCAGAGTCCTGAGGGACCCCTCCCCACCCCAGCTCAGAGCCTGAGCCTGGCAGATGGGCCACACCTGCCAGCAGGATGCAACTTTACAGTCCGAGCCAACCTGGGAGCGAACCCCCGTCCTGCCGACTCACAGCTCAGTGTCCCCATCTGTGAGAGGGGTGACACCGCCCCTGTGCTCCAGGTTCCTACAGTGAGGAAGGCATGTTACGGTTGATGTGGGCCCACCGTAAAGCTGTGCCACGTCCTCCATCTGCACCGGGGACCACAATGCCATCTGCAAAGAGGGCCTCTGCAGGTGCACTTGGTTGACGGGTCACAGTGGAGCAGGGCAGGTCCTGTTCTTAGGACTGGTGTCCTTATCAAAGAGACGAGACACAGAGATGGGGGCCAGAGGGGCCGTGCGAACGGGGCCAGAGGAGGGGCCGTGTGAAGAGGGGCAGAGACTGGAGCGAGCCCGCCAGGTCTAAGGAGCGCAGGGCGCGCGCACAAGGAACGCGAGAAGAAGGCCCCCATCCCGGGGCCCACAGCGCCGCAGCTCCGGGGCCTTCGTCACCGCCCGACGTGGAGTGTGTGGCAGAAGCCGCACAAGCTAGCGTTCGAAGTGTGGAAACGCGCCAGGCCATCACTCCTAACCCACAAAAACCCGCGGCCAGCGGGTAGACTCCGACTCGTAGCTACCCCTGCCGGGCTGGCGAGGCGGTCTATCGTATGCAAGTGGGTCGCCTCGGCTTCCCTCCGCCATTACTGATAGGTGCTGTCTGAAGGTCTGCTCGGGCGAAAACCCACCTCGAAACAGGAATTTCCGCAACACCGGCACTGGCCTTCAAGCTCTTGGTTCGCGCAAGTGGGCAGCTGGCCCTTTGCTGATGCAGGGGCTTGTTCTTTCCAAGTGAACGAAAAGGTTCATCTCCGAGGTTGGCCCCCGGGGCCATCCCTCATCCTGCCCTCTGTGGAGAGGGCACCGCTGCCTGGCGGCCAGCAGGGGCCTTGCGTGCTGGGAGGCACCACCCACTCGCCCCGCCCACCGGCACCGGCCCACCCACGGGCCTCACGCCCCGCCCACTGGCTCCGGCCCCCACGCCCCCTGCTGGCTGAGAGGCAGCCTGTAAGTGGCTTGGTGCAAAGTCCGGATGCTCAGGGCTCGCATTCTTTCCCAGTGAGCACTGCTCTATTTTTATCCCGTACACGTGGGAGCCAGCACCCAGGAGCGTAGCGGTGGGGCCTTACATCCCCCAGGACTCAGGTGGCCACCTGCTGGGAGCGCCCAACGCCGCTCTGGCCAGCTGCCCCGGCTCTGCCCCCAGGAGGCAGCCAGACCCCTGGCCCGCCCCTCCCAGAGGTTAGGGGCCACCTCTGAAGGGGGCACCCTTCACTCCTCATCACGACAAGCACCGGGGCCGTCCACACGACTTGTGCAGGAGAGCCCACCGGCAGGAGCATGCCTGGGCCGGCTTCCACAGCCTTCCCCTGGTCAGGGTGCAAACCAAGTACCTCCGCGGAAACAAAATGCTAACCCTGCCGACTCTGCGGACGATACAGGGGGCTTCGTTTCATTTCTTTAAACGTATGTCCCTGATACGTGCAGCTCTGCACCTTCAACCTTGAATTCCTTAAAGTGCTACTTTAAGGCCCATCTGTCCCCAGCCCCTCGCAGACAGGACACTCAGTGACTTCCAGGTTACCTCTTTTTGCCCTGGAGCATTAAGGGTCAAACTAAGAAGGGCAGCTCCGCCCATGGTGGCAGGTGCCTGGGAGTGAAGGGGTGTTGGGCACAGAAGGCTTGGGCAGCAGTCAGAGTGAACGCCCTCTGGGCTCCAGACTCATAGGCGAGTGCCCTCCCCACTCCGGCCTCACTCAGTGCCCAGTCCCCACCAGGCAGCATGTGTGGACCGAGGACCGAGATCACGCCACACGCTGCGGAGCAGCGTCCTCCAGGGGCTCATCTGGGCCTGAGCAGACAGGACACGGGAGGGCGAGGACCGGGCAGCGACGGTGGGAGCAGAGGCCGCCCCACCGCAGCCAGGCAGGACGGCTCTCCGGGGGAAGCCTGGCGGGGTGTGAGGAGGAGCAGGCGAGAGTTGAGTAAGGACTGACAAGCAAGGGCTGCATCCAGGGGAACAGCTGGGGAGGGCACCCCAGGAAGGAGAGAGGAGGCCGAGGGGTGGGGTGGATGGGATACTGCAAGGGGCTGGGGGCATCCAGGGAAGAGGGGAGGAGGCCTGGAGCCAGCCCGGCATCTGGGAGGCCTGGCTTGTGGGGTGCCACTTCCCAAAGTGGGGACCAAGGTGGCCATGGGGGACCTGGTCAGGCACAGACTGTACCCCCACCAAGGGTCTTCCCGTCACCACACTGAGGACCATGGTCGGCATCGTCCCCCCAGCCCAGGCACTTCTGGGGCCCAGGGCTGCCCCGAGGATGCAATGGTGGTCTGAGTGGGGACCCTGCGCACAGCGTCCAGCCTCGCGGAGGAGCTGAGGCTGTTGAGCTCCCTGTTCTGCATCCAGTGTCTGCCGGGGATGGGGGAGACGCGGACAGTCACCCTTCCTCCAGGCCCTGGCCCCACCCCAGGCGCCCTGGGGACAACCACAGCCCCAGGGGTGGGAGCGGAACAGGCATGTGGCCTCTGGCCCCGCCCACACGTCCAAGGGTACCTGGGGCGTGAGCATGCAGTCTGCAAAGCCGGGCCAAGTGCAAGGTCAGCGCCGAGGTGCGGGAGTGGCCGCAGCCGGGTCACCTCAGGGTCACCGCGGGGCCGCAGTCAGGTCCCCCCGGAATCCACGCGTGTCAACGGAAGCCCCAGGTTACCCCGCGGGCGCTGAGCTCAATCCTTCGGCCTGCTCCCTGGAATGAGCGGCGCCCAGGGCCGCCCGCGGGCCGCTCCCGGAGGCACCCTCGCCGGCCGGAGGGCACATCCGCAGCCCGGGCGCCCGCGGCTGGGGATCGGCAGACCGAGCAGGGGAGGTTCGGGCCTGCTGCCCGTCCGAGCGCCGGCGCGCGGCTCCCGCGAGCGGCGGGGACGGCCCCGACTTCGGAGGGGACCTGAGGCTGGCGGCGGGGACGTCCTAATTCCGGGGCCTGCGCAGCCGCCGTCCCCGAGCACTCACCCTCCGGGAACGGCTTCGGCGCCCTGGCCCTCGGGGCGCCGCCGAGACGCCGAGATACCA